AGGATGTATGGCGCCGCTTGTTTGAATAGTGAAACCTTAGATCATTTCAAAGTGAGGATAGGATAATCCTAGCCCCATAGGGGAGTTTGTTCTCTTTCCTGCTATGTGTTATGTGCAATGTTTGGGAATTCTCAGATTCAGATGAGTGGTTCAGTCATTTCAGTTTGTGGGGTTGAGTTCAGTTTTCAACATGAGTTAGTAGTAATCAGTTGAGCTGTGATGCTAATGAAATTCTGATTGGGGGTTCCGTTTTGTTTCAACAAGGTAGTCGAGCACTATAGCTTCCGAAAGGTCTAATATCCCCCAAGTTTTGTGGACTCGTGTTGGTAGACTTTGCAAAAGTACAGATTTGGTTCAAGGTCAGCCAGTGTTGGTTTCTTTGCCACCGATTACACGAAGAAAAGCAAAAACTTCATCAACTGTCCAAAATACCCCTTCTTCACCTGCTAGATCATTACCACTCAACTCACCAGAATCAGTGATGGCTCAGATTCCAGAAAATATTGCAAACATGCTATTGGCCCTACAACGGAGCATAGATATCGTTGCCACTACGGTTGCTGCCCAAGGCACTACTTTTGCCGCTCAAGGAAATACTCTTGCTGAACTGCAACACTCATCTGGGGCGTCCATTACTCAACCACCTCCGGTGACTCACCCAGTTCTAGTTCCACCTCCACCTTCACCAGCTGATGAGTTTCCCGAACTTAACTCACCAGAATATCTGAGGGTTCCTGCACAAACTTCAGGAGGATCATTTTCTCTTCCACAACCAGCGGGAGGGCTCCATCCCCCTGAAGCACCCGAGTCTGACTTAACTATGTTGAAGCTGGCCAAGTTGGAAAAACTTTTCAAAAAGGCTCAAGGAGTCAATTCAATCTCGGACATCGAAGACGGGTACACTGAGACAACTGTGAAGTTGCCAAAATGGTTCAAAATGCCACACATTGATAGGTTTGATGGCTCTGGCGACCCAATGGTGCACATTCGCTTGTTCTCTGATGTCTTAAAGCCTATGGGTCTGACTCGTCCGCAAAAGCTCTCTTTATTCAGACGAACTTTGTCAGGAGTGGCTGCCATCTGGTATGCCAAGTTAGAGGACTCGGTAAAACAAAGTTGGAAAGAGTTAGCCAGGGCCTTTATCACCCAGTATGCTTATAACATCCAGATTGAAGTAACTACTCAGGAATTAGAGGCCACCCGTCAAGAGCCCAATGAAAGCTTCGTGGCCTTTATCACTAGATAGAGGGAAAAAGTAGCAATGATGACCAACAGGCCACTTGAAAAAGACCAAATCCGAATGACAATCAGAAATCTGCATGGAAAGATGTTACAAAAAATGATAGTCCTCCCGCTCTTCACTTTTAATGACTTAAATAAGATAGGGGTCCAGATGGAGGATGCCATCAAACAGGGAATTATTGTGGAGGATAAGGAACCTGTTCGGAAGCCTTTTGGTCGCAGTTCCAATGTTACCACCAGTGGTAGCACAACTGTGAAGCCCTCTGAACTGAACTTGGTTGCCACCACCACTAAAATAGCTGACCCCTTTGCTCATACTGGCCCGCAAAACACAACCCAAGCCCCAAGTATAACATTCACCCCTCTATATATGTCACTCTCTAAAGCAATGAACATCTTGACAAAACGAGGGTATTTGAAGCCTTTGGACCCTCGACCTCTTCCCAATCCTCTCCCAGCCAAACATAACCCTACCAAACACTATTCTTTCCACCAACAACCAGGACATGACACAGACTGTTGCTTTCGTCTCCATCATGAGATCCAAGATCTTATAGACAATAAAGTCATAGCTCCCCCATAATCACCAAAACCCAACGTCACTACCAACCCCTTGCCATCCCATGACAGAATTCCACCACCTTCTCATCTTAACCTCATCCATACACTTTCATCCACCTTTAACCCCAATATCTATATCACACCTACCCATTTACCAAAACCTGAGGTATATATTCCTGAAGGCACTAAGTTATGCATGATGGATGCACCTTAAACCCAGCCAAAACCCAAAAACCCTATGGTTGTAGTACCTATGCTTGTGGATGACAAACTATTAGAGAAAAAGTATGATCCTAGCCGATATATTTTTCCCAGTGGTCAACTAAAGCTTGAGGTTGATCTGCTTGACTCATTTTCTATCAATGTTGTTAGAGAGGATTTACTTGAGCAGGGGTTAGATGATTTGGCTGACCTAGAAGAGGACTTGGCTAATCTTCATTTCTTTGAAGAATTAGGTCTTGGGAATGTGCAAATGGAATGGTGGGAACCGAAGAATTACAGTCATGGTTGGTCAAGCGGTGACGAAGCTTTTGATGAGAAAACTGAAAGAAAATGGGATGAACTAAGACTTGATTTCAAAAACCCTGTTGAATGTGGTAAAGGAAAGAGTTCTAGAGGAAAAGAAGAAGAACCAAAAAGCCATTTAGAGCATACTATTGGAATGATTCAAGAAGTGCTAGATAATTGCCTTTCAGTCAACAAAGGCAAATGGTGGGATGATAATGACCTACAGCTCATCCACACTGATGATGAATGGGTAAACCATGTATCGGATGAGACTTGGTATGCAGAAGAAATTGATCATTTGACCAGGAGTGGACGCTACTTCAAGCCTCCATATCTAGACCAAGGAGAGCCCTCTAGCAAAGATAAAGAGGTAGAGAAAGAGAAAGAAAAAGAGAAAGAGGTAGAAGAAGACCTGGTTCTAAAACAATTGAAAAAGATCCAAGCAAACATTCCCATTTGGGGTCTTCTCATGGCTTCCCGAGAACAGCGACAGGCAATGTTGTCTACGTTGAGCAAGGCTAAATTGTCAATTGACACCACTCCTGAGCATTTAGTGTCATTAATCACCCCGAGAGAAACCATCCTAGCAATAACTTTTACTGACAAAGAGCTACCATAAGAAGGATCAGGACATAATAAGCCTCTGTACGTATCACTGGAATGCAGAAAGAAATAGATTCTGATTGTTCTGATTGATACCGGATCAGCCATCAATGTTTGCCTTACACGCACTGCTTATACAATCGAGCTAAAGCCGACAAATTTCACGCCCACTACTCAATTGATCTGGGCCTACGATAATACTAGTCGGGAAGTGATAGGGACAATCAAAGTACAAATAATAGTGGGCCCATCTCTGAGCACGAAGTTGAATTTCATGTCATGGATGTTCCCGCAATATTCAACTTGCTATTGGGAAGGCCCTGGCTTCATCAGATGAAAGTTGTATCCTCTACATTACATCAATTGGTAAAGTACCCATACGGTGGAGGAATTGCCATTGTCTTCGGAAATTCATCCATTTATCCTCCTCCAGAAGTCACAACACCACTGCTAGAAATACAGCATGGGGAAGAGGATGTGTTACTATTAGGTTTTACATTGGCAGAGGCCCAACTAGTTCAAACGCTCATGGCAGAAGATGAAGGTGTATACGTCAGTGCCCAATCAATCTATTTCATGAGTAAACTAGGTCACATTCCAGGGATGGGATTGGGACGAAGTGGCAGGAAATGTATTACTATAGCCAGTGAAGTACCTCATAACTCACATGCATTCAGACTAGGGTATGCACCCACGGCTGATGACTGGAAAAGGAAAACTGAAGAGACCAGGGAGAAGATCAAGGCCAAGAGAATCGGGCAGCAGTTGGAGTTGGTTCATAAGCCAATTCATGGGACCTTGAACGGACGCTTTGTCCACCAAGGAGAAGACTTCCCTTTCTGTGGTTTTCCTGAGCCTTGGTTTGATCAAGTGGAGAAGAAGAGATACCCTGGGTTTGAGATCTTCTTTGATCATCAACTCTCGGACAGTGGCAAGGAGTGGGTAGATCCTAGCAACGACATCAGACAAGATAGAGAAGTTAGCTCGGAAAGCAGCACAGAGGAAGTCCTGGGTCTAACACTGGCTGATTTACTAACAGAATCGCATACTAGCACTGAACCGATGAATTTGGGAGATATGACCATTGCCGTGATCGGGGAAGAGGTACCTACTGACTGTTCAAGCTTCATCATAGATGCAATGCATGGCTCACAAATAAATTGACATTTTGAAAGGAGTTGTATTAGGAATTCTGAATTGGCTGTTGAGTCTGAGTCCGGTGGGCTTGTGGGCTTGGAGGCAGATTTAAGTTTGTCTAAAATGCCTGAGTCTTCTTTTTCTTTCTCTTTTGAGTCTGCTGCAACTTGTGAGCCCGAGGCTTTGAATGAAGATGTGATTTCTGCTTATTTTTCTATGCCCAGAGTTCATTAAATTGACCAAAATTTTCAAGATCTTGATAAAAACGAAGATGAAGAAATTCCTTGGGCTTTGACAACTTTAATCGACTGGGAGGAAGAACGGCATGCTAGGCCATTAGTGGATGAAATTGTTTCTGTAAATGTGGGTACTGAAAAAGATCCTACTACTACAAATACAGATAAAGATCACACTTTTTTTGTGTGATGTATGCGTTTTAATCACACCTTTTATGTTTTATTAAAGTGTGGTCTTTGGGAGTGTGATTAAAAGGGGTCATTTTTAATCACACTTTTTAAATGTCATTAAAAATAATTTCATCACATCTTTTAAGTGTGATTAATAATATTTAGATCACATCTTTTAAGTGTGATTAAAAATATTTAGATTACATCTTTTAAGTGTAATTAAAAACATTTAGATCACATCTTTTAAGTATGATTAATAATATTTAGATCACATCTTTTAAGTGTGATTAATAACTAATAAAACCTGCGATAAAATAAAGAATTTGACATATTTGAAGAATAATCAATATTATTTTTGTATGCGCATTTCAAGAATGTAATACACACTATATACTACACTTTGAATCACAATCACATATTGAATGGAATAACGTCATATATTTCATAAATGAAAGTTAAATATGTTCAAAAGTATATACAGAGGAATTAAATAAAAAGTTTTACACTGTGCTTACATATATTAAAAGATGAAAAAACCCATATTTTGCATCTCTCCAAGAAATTTCTAACTTGAAAAATGAAAACACAAATTAATTCAGAAACCGCTAGAAGCATATGAATAAACTAACTATTTGAAGAGATTGTTCTAGTCTCACAAAAGATAAAGTCCGACTGATTACACCCCTTCAAATGTCTTAACATTAAATACCTCTAGCATGACATGAAGCGTGTAAAAATAAAATGTCATTTTACCCACATTAATTGCATGTTCAACAGAAATTTTACTATAACCAATAACTTAGTTTAAGAGGCTCTACCAATCTCAAATATTTAATGTTCTACAAAAGAAATGCAATTGAATGTTAATTGTGCAAATACCTTGAGTGCATTTCGGATATCAGTGACCATTCTTCATCATCTTCTCCATTTGAGCTCCTAGAAACTTCTAAACGCTTGGGAGGTTGGCCAGAGTTTCCTTAGAAAGAAGAAAAACAACTCAACTCCTTGGGTATACACATACTGGTAATTGCACATTTGTAAAAAATGTTCTAGATACCATCATATACAAAGTCACGTAGAGATATAATCCTAAAGTATAACTTGGGGGTTTCAAAATTCCCATATTAGAATTGACTGCCATTTGCAAATGAGCACCATTACCTTCCATGAAGAACATTGACATTATCTTTTGTGGAATTCGGCCAGATATCCAGTTCAAATACTCTAACACCTCTCTGCAATGCTTGTATGATCGGGACATCACTGCAGTCACTCCTTAGTTGATTTCCCTTTAGATACAAATTATAGCCCGTATATACAAAATAGTGAGATAAATAAGCTGTCATATCATGATGAATCTGAAATATTTACAAATAAAAGACAAACAATAACTATTCAGTCTCAAAATGAAAATTAAATATAGAATACACAGTGATATAATGGCATCTCCAGCCCTTGACTGAAACCTATATCAAATTTAAATTTGGGTAAAAATCACTCAAAAACCTCTCTACTCATAGACTCAAACTTATTTTGAGTAAGAGAGATCGTAAAATGTTCTAGGACAAGGAGATGGTCTTGTTCACCTGCAGGACCAGACAGCAAAATTCTTGGGCTTACAGCAGAATCCTTGGACTCACTATGCTTTATGTGTAGAACAAAGGATGCCAACAGATAATATTTTGTCCTGCCACTGAAAGAAATGAAAAATTGAAATTTCCATTACTAGCTTGCAATAAAGTATTAAAACCCATGGAAAACCATAGCAGCCCCTATAAATGAGACTAACATAGTCAAGTAAATGACCTTAAATTAGAACTACAAAGTACAATTGTCGATCAAACTGTTGCATAGGCAGAAAAGGGAGCATGTAACCGTAACTGGAGAGCGTGTAATCGTAACTGGAGAACATTTACGTTAAACAAGTTCTTAAAGATGAACAAGCACATTCAGTACACTATAAGGGTATAATGGCATCTCAACACTCCAAGAAAGTTTGCAATAGTCCCACATAGTGAAACCACTACATATATCAAATGACTGAAGTAGCTTAACATCTGAAATAGCTTTATCAAGGAGCTACAGCAATGGGGAAAAATCAGGAAAACATATTCAGGTCAAGAAGTTGAGATTTAAAGCATATATGTATTCTATTCTCTCACAGATTTTGGTATTCCTTTTAATACTGCTATTTCAGGAAAGAAGAAACAATAAAAGATCAAATTTCACAATTGCTACTAGTGAAGACGTGCTGTATTATCGTTGCCCTTTAAAATAGAAAAAAACTGCACAAAACAACATCGACTCCTTAAGTTGGTCTCTTAATATGAACTTATCATTGTTTGCATAATGAATGATCCCTGACTAATATCTTTCCATTTTCAAGCATATCTCCTACCTGCATAATCTAGATTGTTTTCCAATTTGTGAGGCATTTATCAACACATATGCATTCATTGGACTCTTCTTGTAAGTTCAATGTGTACATGTAATATAATCGTATAGATAAAAGTTTATCTTTTCAAAATTATTGGGCTTCCCAAGAAGTCTGCATGATCTTTTATCAAATTCAGTGTGAAGTGATGAAAAGAAAAATGTTTCTCATCCAATCCAATGCCTACAAGCAAACTGATCAATTGAACTTTTTATCAATTTTAGTGTAAATGTGTGCTTCCATTTAGATCATTATATTACCTATCCTGCAGAAGAAGGGAACAAGTCAACATCTTATATAAGAACTAGTTATCAAGTTCAAAAGTACTGTGGAATATGCTAACATACTCAAAAGCTGAATTATGAAAAGAGATCTGTTGTGGATGTTAGAACATAGAATAAGTACATAAAATGACTGTACAAGAAAGATTACAGTTGTGTGGAAGGCTTCTACCATAAATAATACAGAAAATTGTCAAATGAGATTTGTAGTTCTCTACCATCAATAATGGGATCAAATAGGAAAATGCAAATAAATAAACAATGCTCAAATTCAAAGTGGATCCAACCAAATCAAATCAATTGGTTCATGCAATTAGAAGAATATAGAAGTACCTCTTAATTTGTGCAGGAGCAATTAATAAAACTTGTCTGGTTGAATAGAGTACAAAAGGAACTGCAAACAAGCAAAATGATCTAATTTTTTTTGGTTAAATAGACAAAAAGTAATTAAAAAAGACAACCAAACAATTCCTAAGTTAGGAAAGGCAAAAAGATAACATGGATAATTGTATACCTCAAGAACCATGATCACAAATTCTGAATGCTCCCACTAATGCTAGAAGATACCAAAGTACAAAATGTCTATCATGGGTGGGTTTGGGAAGATTCATTACTCATAAATACTTGAGTCAATAAGCCAACTATAATGAAACATGACTTATTAGAGAACACATAAAAAGCTTTCTGACATGGTCAACACAATAAAATGAATAATATATTAGCATGACATAATATTCATTCTACTTTGCGGAAAATTTATACACAACTGAGATTAGAAGAAAAATATAACCAGAAAGGCCTTTCTTCCATATAAAATAAACAACAAAATTAAAACTCTCCCCAACTTCAACAACCATGTACTTTCTTTAATTTAAAGGGAAAAAGAAAAAAAGAAAAGACAAAAACAGAGCAGCACTTTGTATCACATCCTTAAACCACATGCATTGTTCAGCAGAATTTTATGTTATACAAAATTTTTAACAGCAAAAATTAATTACTAAGACTCTCTGTTGTTTATTAAAATTTTGATCAATGAAAACCACTTAAAATTCCACTCCAGTAAACCATATAGTAATAAAAATAACAAAATGACTCTTAACAACATGTATAGCCACAACTGAAGCTAATGGATCATACGCAACTATAATTTTTGAAAACAAGAAAATCAGAATCAAGCAAAAACATATATAAAATCAAAACTGAAGCTTTTGAAAAAGTACCAAGGTGTGTTTACCTCCAAATAAAATGAACACAAGAAATAACAGAACTGAGATGACAAATCTCATCTTTGCAATGCCATTGTGACATTTAGTCGAGCACCTTGTAGACACAAAAAGTATATAGCATGATTCATCTTTGCTATACACAGAGAAACTATACAGATGAGAGAAAAAACAATCCAAAATCAGCAAATAAAGATCATTTTGAAACCCCTTTCAGAAAATAAAATCAGCAAATACAGATGATGAACCATTTTTGAAGCGGTGCAATGATAGAAACCATTCCGAAACCCTTTTTAGAAAATAAAGATCATTTCAGAAACCCATTTCAATCAGAGAAGAAATTTTTCAGAGCTGAATTCAAAACTATTTCACTCATCAGATCAGAGAAGAACCAGATTTCAGAAAAATAGAGAGAGAAATGAAAGGCCCGGAGCAAGAGCTACGAAACCTAAGTCCAAGACTTGGACTGCGGCTGTTCTTCTCCTTCTCCCTCATTCTCATGGCTGCGACTGTGTTAATAAGAACTTAGGTTTTTATTTATTTATGCATTTGTATTATTAACCGTAAAATAATTACTCTCCTTGTTTTATTATTATTATTATTATTATTAGCCTTGTGGACTTTCATAATAAATTTATTTAAAGTTTAAGATTAATTAAATTACCTTCTAACAATATTTAATTTAGAGACAAAAGATTATTTTTTTCATTAAAATGTACGTCTTTTGTGACAATTTATTTTCATCATTAGTTTTCATTTCTAAACACTACAAGAAAAAGGGGTATAAACACAGAAGCTTTTGCGACGGTGCGTTTTCCCGTCGCAAAAAATGAGCTTTTGTGATGGCAGATTAAACCGTCACAAATGAGCGCTTTAGCGACGGCCTTTTACCGTCAGTAATAAAACTGCACGGGTAGTGTGAAAAACGGAAGTATCAGCGACGGCGTTTTTTACCGTCGCTAAATTATTATTTTTTAGATGGCATGAGTTGGCTGTCGCAAAGAGTGGACCATTTGCGACGGCAAAATGTCCGTCGCCCAAAAAACTTATCAAAACGACGTCAGTTTAGCTTAATAATTTATCATTTGCGACGGTGTAAAATGTACCGTCGCAAAAAGTTAAAAAAAATTTGCCCCCCTCTTCCCCTTTCATCTTGGCGCTTGATGAAATCCCTAAATGTTCGAAATCCCCAAACGAGTGACGAACCGCGAACTTGGCATCTCTCTGGACGTGCGACGAATGACGACCGCGAACTTGGCATCTCTCTGGACGAGCGACGAACGATGAGCAGGCTAGCGGTGGTGCGGTGGTGCAGCGACGACTTTCTCACAGCGTATGCTCTCTCTCTCTCTCTCTCTCTCTCTGTATATATATATATGTATGTATTAGCTGTTCAAAAAAATATATACATGAATATAAATTATTTGCCCCACTCAACCAAGTAAACACCAGACAAGGAACAAAATTTTGTCTCATTTCCATTGAAATGGATGAAACATATATGTTTTCTATGAAACTGAGACCAAACAATAGTGAAAAACCGAAACTGAGACCAAACATATATGTGTGTGTTTAATAAATATCTGTGTGTGTTTGTTTTTTTATATCATTTAATAAATACCTGTGTGTGTTTTTAATAAATATCTGTGAGACCAAACATATCTGTGTGTGTTTAATAAATATCTGTGAGACCAAACATTTCCATTCATTTACCTTTATTAAACCTTCTTTTTCATATCATTTAATAAATATCTGTGTGTGTTTGTTTTTTCATAGCAAAATAGGTATGTTAACTTTAGTGTTGGACTGTGTGGGTCATTTGTCTTTTTCTCATGAAAAAAAAATTTTGATCAGACAAAAATTTTGAGTGAAAAATTCATTTGATATGAAGCACTCAAATAGTAACCTCAAAAATTTTATGCTTTGACTAAAAATTTCATTTCTTATGAAGCACTTTAGTAAATAATTCAAAATTTTACCTGAGTTTTTTTTAAAAAAAAGGTTTGGTATAGGTTTGAGTTTGCTAAAAGGATCTCTTGATTTTGGGTAATAAAAAAAAAAAGAGTAGAATTTAATTTTGAATAGGTTTGAGTTAAAGAGCATAGACGAGTTTTGAGTATTTTTTAGACAAACTTAAATAGATGAGTTTTGAGTATTTTTTTGAATAGGTTTGAGTTAAAGGTATTATATTTAGAGTTACTTTGATGAGATATTTTTGTGGATGTGTACAGATGATGGATAAGAGTTGGATTGATTTGCCAAATAGGATGTTGAGCGAATACATTAATGGGATTGATGAATTCCTTGTGTTTGCCTACACCAATAGGGTTGAAGGTTTGATGATCAGTTATTCGTGTAGGAAGTGTGAGAATCGATACCATCTTGTACAAGAGGGTGTACGGGAGCATCTGATTTTGAATGGTTTTTTAAAAAAATACAAACACTGGATTAATCATGGGGAATCTATCACGCCCCACTTTTTATTACTCGAAGTATTACCAATTTCATTTATTTAATTCCATTTCAGAGATAACATGCGGAAATAAACTCGTATATTCAACTTGTAGAAGTGAATAACATTGCTCTCATTCGTATGCAAGTAAATACAACATGAGAACACTAAATAAATTGCCCTTGGGCTTACATCATTAAAAGTCAAGAAGAAGGGTATAACCCTTTTACATAAATGGCATTCTGCCAACACAAAAGAGGCCCCGTGGCCAACAAATAAGAAGATCCAAAACCTTGTAGCACATCCTGTCTATCACCTGAAAAAGATTCAACAACGTGGGATGAACATATAGTCCAGTAGAGATCTCAACATGATCCTCAACAATAACAACTTACAGATAGCTATGATCATGAATGTTCAATCTCATACTAGAATAGTAATGTGGCAGTTTATACAAAATATACATAAGTATGAACTTTTCTCGAAAACAGCCATTTCATTCAACGCTATAAGCGGTTCACCTTCTTTCCTTTTAATTACCCATTTTCCAAACTTTCATGACTATAACAGTTTTTTTTTTTTTTTTTAAAAAAAACAATTTTACCAAGCCCATCACTCTTCCCCCATTTTCCGTACTTACAACAAAATGATCTTTTTTGAAAACATGTTCACAAATACTCCACTTTCCTTCACACTTTCCAAAATCTCAAAATGGCATTTTGGTTTGTTCCGAATACATTCATATCAATACATGCATGCCTTAAATAAAAGAGAAATAACAAATCATCAACATGTATATAATCCACAAATGAGGCAGCTCAGCCTTTCAAAACTGTAACCATTGCAACCCATAAAATACTCAGATACACTGACGATAACAATTAAAACTCTGCTCTACCGGCTATATGCAAAGTAGCTAAGGATATGCCAAAGCGATAAGCAAGATAATAACTCATTTTAAACATTTCATACCTCATAATAGATACACATTTTAGTCCTGTATCAATCTCAGATAAAAACACTTCCATACTTCACAAATGATACACATTTTAGTGTTGTATCAATATCAACCAAAAACACTTCTATACTTCACAAATGATACACATTGTAGTGCTGTATCAATGTCAAACAGTTTCCGGTTTAGAGGTCCATCCCCTATCTTCCCCTAAACCGTGGAGTACATCCCCTATCTCCTCCCACACAAAACAATGTATATAAGCGATTATCATGTACAAATTCCTCAATACAACAAAGCATCAATAACAAGTGTAATACATACACATAAACCATTCAATAATGTTTACCCAACACAAGTGTAATGCATGCATCACAATTCAACACAACAATGTCATCCTCCACCGATGACCAAGGACAAAACCTCTAGATGCATGTATTCAGTACACCTAATAAAAGAGACTCAACTCTCAAGCAAACCTTAAACCCAACAACGACACTAGTACGATAGGTAAGGATAAAACCCCCAAATATGTGTATTCGACATTCATGATACAATAGTTTAATTCTCAAATTTATTTTCCGAGACTCACATAGAGTTAACATTTCATTTACCATTTTCAAGATCAACTTCATAATTTTCTTAAGTCAACATGTTCCATCACTTATTCCAAAAACACTTTTCCCTTTTCACAAAACCAATTACATTCTCTTCATTTTACAAAATCAGTTCCATGGATAATAAGCCATAACCCAACTTGATTCAATACGTTCATTTCAAAATAACCCCAATACCATAATTAATCCCTTAACTGTTAACACCTTCTACACAACTCATATTAACAATAGAAATTTACCGACATTGTTCAACCGTAAATCCTTTTTATTTTACCAAATCAAAATATAATTTAGGGCTTTCTCTTCTTTCAACAATAACATGCTAATTTTACTCTCTAATTAGTCCAAACCACAGTCAGTGATAACAAAATCATTCTCAAACAACCAACCCTAGATTCCCCTCATGATTTTCAAACAAATCCAACACGGATATGATTTTCATGCAATACAAAACTACTACATGTCTATCTATAGACGGAGTATTAAAAAGGAACAAAGAAATCCCTACCTCAAATGGAGAGACCAGATGGAGAAGATGAAGGCCAAAAACCAAAGTGCTCCAAATCGCCAAACTTTCAGATTAAAAATGAAGCCCTCAACCCACTCTACATTTCTTACAAAGGACTTAGTATAGATTTACACTAGAGGGAGATGAAAACCTAGAGAGAAGGTGTGTAGAGAGAGAGAGAAGATGGTTCTAGGGTTTTGAAATCAAAAGGGAGATGAACAAGTGATATTGAAAGGTTGTTATTAAAGCCCATTAATTGGAAAATGAAAGGACAAGTTAGAATTAAATGAACACTAACTAGCATTAAATGAACACTAACTAGAATTAAATGAACACTAGTTAGAAATATGAATGGACAAGTTTGTCATAAAATCCCACTAATGGAATATGAATGGATCACTAATTCGAATGGAATGAACCATTATGAAAATTTAATAGACACTAGTTGGAATTAAATGGACATCAACCCTTGGTTTCCAAACACAACTAACCTGTTTTAAACCTACCCAACACGACCAAAGACTCATATACAAAGAGTAAAGGATGGAAACAGGAAAAAGACAACAATACATCCACGGAACCGAGTCTGAAATACAATTAAACAATGAAGGGAAAATCGGGATCGCTATAGAATCTTACATATCTCTGCATGGTAATCGAGAGAATGAAACATTAGCTAATTTAGACATTGGGGATGATATGATTGGAATAATACAAGGGGCTATGGGAAATCCATATGCTGGTACAAGTGTTAAGGGTAATGAACCACAGGGGCGTGATCCCCATGCATCTGAACCCCATCTCGGTCCAAATGCAGAGACTACAAAGTATTTCAAACTTCTTGAAGATACACAAAGTGAATTGTATCCGGGTTGTCAGAAGTTCACATCTTTGTCATTCATTGTTCGACTTCTACATTTGAAGGTGCTTAATCAGTGGACAAACAAGTCTGTTGACATGTTG